TCCAAAAAGTCTGGGGGGAAGGGTAGGTAGGGGGAGAATATAGGAAGAAATATGACCACGAGAGGCTATTACAGTAATTCAAGCTAAACATAATGAGAAACTAGAGCTTGGTGACTAAATCCTTGCGAAGGTAAAAGAAACCTACATTTCCAATTTGAACATTACATATGTAAGACTGTAAAAACTTCAACTTGAAACATAAATTTGCAGTCCTATGCAATAGCCAAAGGCAGGCATCCTACAGGCCCCATGGCACAAGGGGAGACCATTGCTGAAAACTCAGACCCAGGAGGTAGGTTTGATGAAAATTAGTGCATCCAAGCGTGTTTTCAGAAAAAAATGCTGTTTAATCAATTGGCAGAAAATAAATGGCTGCCAAATAATTTTGAAGAAAACTTGAAATCTGGGTTCAGGGTATTGATTGGGAAGTTATTAGCTTAAACAGGCTGGGTGAATCCATGGAAAGAGAAGGCTGTGAAAAATGAAAGGCCAGCAGCTAGACTGCACTAAGGAATGCCAGTCTTTTCAGTGTTTAAGGGAGGGAGGGAGCTGCAGAAGGGTATCGCTCTGTAGCAGCCCCTGTTCGCAGCCCACAGCAGGCTCCAGACTATCACTGTACAGACTGGTGTACCTTTCCCTGCCCCAGAGATAATCTCCTGAAGGCGAAACCAAGTTGTGTGCTTTACCAACTCTTAAATCTTAGTCAGCTCTACATTTTCCATAAAAAACAAATCTTGTGATTTCTAACCTAGATCCTATCCCTCAAAAATGGAATAAAAGTTCTAACCTAATGTTCCTCATCTTCCAAAATGTTCTGAGTGTGTGCCCTGCACACTGTGCCTTAAACCTTTACTCACTCTGTTTTCTCCAAAGTTACAGGTTTTGTTGTTTTTTGTTTGTTTGTTTGTTTTTTTTGTGCTGCTCCAGTTACCAGAATTTCAGTTAACCCTTAAGATCTAGCTAAATGTCCCCCCTCGCCTGTGAATCCTTCTCAGAAACCTCCAGTGACAATTTAAGATTTCCTTTATTTCCACAAATATCCTTTTTACTTTTATCATAGCATCTGTGTCTCTGCCTTGTTGGTTATATCTACTTCCTTACTCCTTTGGATCATAAACTTTAGGGCCTACTTAGCTTTGTTTCCCCAGGGCTTCTAGCACAGTGTCTTGTTCTTCAGCTGGTGCTCTGTCAAGTATCCACTGCTGTTTTACACCTGTGCAGTTTAGCATTCTGAACTACAAATCAGTACTCACGAAGAAGGTCTTGACTTTTTATTATAATATACTCTGGAAACTGCATCTTAATGCATAGGAAGGTTTTTACTTAAGAACATGCATTATAACTGGAGGGCTTGCATCAAATGCAACTCATATAATCAATAGTAAATTCTAAAATTAAAGAATCAATATCAATATTTAAGTTGTAAAATTGGGCTCCTGGAAACAGAATTTTACCAACAGAAGAAACCTGAAAAGAGCTTTCTTGTGCAGTGTTTTATAAATTGTCCTCTCTGGAATCTTGTTCCTCATGGCTGAGGAGCAGTGGGAGTCCTGGGGAAGGAGATTTTGCCAGACCATCAAACTTAGCTTCACCTAGAGTAATTTGGCTTTGAAGTGTTTAAATTTGAGGCTTTCAAACAAAATTATATTGCACATAGTTTTGCTGTTGGTTTGAGAACATAGTTATAATCTTCTGCCTGCTTTTAAAACCTTGGTGACTGGACCTCCATTTCCTCATCTGTAATACTATGAAAATGACACTGTGATAGTTTCTGCTTTTCTGAGCCCCTCCTCTCCATTTTCAAGTGAAAAACAGACCCCCAAGAAAAATGAAGTGGCTTACACAGGCCACATGGAAAGTTCATGACAAACAAGAATTTCATCTCCAGCCCTGGTGGTGGTGATTTTTTTCTATTTTAAAAATTCCTAAAAATTATAGCTATCAATTCGATGGAAAAGATAAATACCAGGAGGTATATACACATCATGTAAAAAATAGAGCTATATCATACATTTGCCTTACTTAAAGCTGGTGTGCCAACTGCAATAAACATTGAACATTTACCTGTTTTACATTCATTTTTCAAGTTTATAGAAATATTTGGATGAGTTGTTTGTTTGCATGGCTCATTTCTCTTCTACAAAGCTATTTATGAGTTGTTTTCTTCTAGCTAAATAGCCATGTAATCATTGGAGGCATTTAAAATCATTCCATTAATCATTCCTTCCTTTCATGTTGAAGTTACACTGCATCTAAATTCGAAAGTATAGCTAAGAAGTTGTGAGGGTTTAGGAAACAAGAGTCTCGAGGTCTGTTCCTTACATTCATCTCCTTCACTTTGGCCATCTTCCTTTCTCCATTCCTTCCCCAAATCAAGGGTATCTGTGGAGAGAAAATGAAGTCACAAGACAGCTAAGAGATGTGTGAACAGAAAGGAAAGGACAGCCAAGCTCTTTGGCCATGGTGGTGGTGGGGGTGTTTATGGGCTGACTATATTATAGCCTTGTTTACAGATATAATGTGACAACTCACAGAGGCACCTTCTTCTTCCTCCTCTTGCCTCCATGGGTAACTACCCATATGTCATGCTGCTGCTGGGACCAAGGAATGAGAGAGTATAGGTGTTTAGAAGTGAAGTAATGGCCCTCATTAAACAAGTATACTCTTTCAAAGAAGTGTTAAAACTTGTAATGTGAATACCATACTAATTTGGGTTTTATAGGACTTGAACACATCATGCTATCTTTGCATCATGCCACCTTTGCATCATGAAAAAGGACTTGGATGTGCCAGTTACAGTAGTGCAGTAGGATAGATGACAGTGTTTAACTCACTCAAACTTCCCAAAGACATCACAGCATCCATTTTACGTAAGCAGACTATTAAAAGTAGATTTGGTAATACCTGCACGTGGCAATATATAGTGTCACTCATTTGTCAAGATTACAACAAAGAATTAAAAGCATTGAATTAACAGTGATGTTTAATTCAGTCTGTCTTCTCTCTCCTCAACCTTTGGAATAGGCCAAACTCTGATTAGAGCTGTTACAGTGAAGGTTTTTTTATGCAATAATTTTACAAAACTTCATGTATATATGAATATATGTATACACACACATATACATATTTATGGTAAAATGCTGGTCTTGGCCAGAGCAAAGAAACAGAAGTAATACTACTCAGCAATCAAAAAAGATAAACACATGCAGTTTGCAGCAACATGGATGGAGCTAGAAGGGATCATGCTCAGCGAAATAAGTCAGAAAGAAAAAGAAAAATACCGGATGGTCTCACTCATGGCAGGAATTTAGAAAACCTAAATAAGGGACCAGGAAAAAGACTAATTAATACAAAGTAAAAACCAAAATCAACAAGCAACTATAAACCAGAGACACACCATGGGGGCAGGGGGAGGAATGGGAGAGGAAGGACTAGGGTCAAAATAAGGGGGGAGGGGTGCAATTGTATGGGGAATATAACCAAAATGATAATGCATACATTGTGCAAAGATGAAAAATGATGTAAGAATTATATGAAATAAAATATTTTTAAAAAAGAAATAGAAGTAATACTTACACCATATAAGGAATAAAGCATCTTACCTCTAGTTTGCTTCTTTCATTTGGATTTACTTTCATTAGACTGGAAAAAAAGCTGAAGAAATTCAGCTATAATTGATGCTTTCTGAGTTAGGTTTTGATGGTTTTCCTTGCTTCTTGCTCTTTTGGTTTGAGGACAAGTAGAGTAATTCTGAACTAGTCCTTGGATTGGAATTTTCCATGTTTTTTGTACTTTTGCCCCCAAACCCATTTTGACTGAGTCAGATCATCTTCAGATTTAGAGAAAAATCAAGGTGTTATTGATTCTTTTGTTGTACTATGAAATTGGGTCACTTACTACAATATCCACCTCTTATCACTTAATCTCATTTTTTAATTCTTGCACTTCTTGTTATATGCTTGATTTATAGTAACATAGTTAGGAATAACATCACTTAGCAATGGCCCAGAAATGCATGATACCCTCTTGAAATCTTTAGGATAAGAAAAGTGATTCTTATTTGAAGATATTTAGTGCCAAATCTTGCTGAAGAAGGACCTTATAGAAATCTGACTCTGAAGGAGGAAACCTAAAAGGCAAAACAAGCTTCAGAAGAGAGAAGACTAGGAGCATAAGTAGCTACTCAAAGAAAGCTGAAAGGAAAGGACTATGCCCTTTTCTTTCATTTCATTTGGTTTTTAATGTTCTGAGATTTTTTTAAATTTAATTAGCTAGGTAGATATGGTATGCCCCTTTCATCTTTATATAATTCAAACTTTAGCATACTAACAATTTTTTTGAATTTTAAATGGGTCATTTCCATAACATATAATTATCTCTATAAAACACTTACAGTCTGTTTTATAGCAACATTGGATTGATTTATAAAATACTGTCCCAAGACAAATACTGTTTTCCCACAGTATACTTTCATCTGAAGTCAATAATCAGATTCTAGAGAAACCCTCTAACACTCAGAGTATAATTTGGCACCACTGAAAGTGTTTATTAATTGGTATTTATCACTGAGATGCCATTAATAAAGCAAATATACTAAACATATTTTGTAGATTTAAAGAGCTTTTAGACGGCGAATGTCAATCACTATGAGACAGTATTTCAGATTATATTAAAATGATTACAAAGGAAACATGCAATGTTGAAAGATAAATTTAGAAATGATATGCCATATAGTATAGCTCTATTAATTTAGGTTGATTTCAGAACTGATTCTTTTTGCCACATACCTAAAAGCTGACTGTATTGATAAGGGGTAAACAACCTGGTGAACTATTTCCTTGGTTCTCCACAAAAGTGAATATAGTAAGCTGATAGACCTTTATGTTCAAAACCCGCATGCCCTCTCCTCATTCAAGTTACTGGGTTTGGGGGATATGAATATCTGACTGTGTCGTCTTCTGATTTTTGACTTGGTGTTTGTTTTTCTTCTTCTTTCACAGAAGTCACTCAAGAAAGACAGGTCCCAGGATTTCAGGCCGGGTTCACACTCTACAGCACAGTAAGCAACTTTGCTTCTAAATAATTTACAATACTAAGATGGTGGTTTTTGTTTGTTTTTTAAGGACAGTTTCTCAATTACCTGTCTCCTTAACATTATTAGGTAAGGTAAATTTCAGATAATCGATTTTTCAAGACAATTTAACTAGTTTAAACTAAGGCGACCGTTTGTGTGTGTGTGTGTGTGTGTGCGCGCGCGTACGCACTAATATTTTACTGCTTTAATTTTATTTATATTTTTTACATCATTGTTCATTTTTAAACAATGTTTGCTTCCCCCCGCCTCAGGTGTAGTCCCTACAGAATGTCCTTCCCTAATGCACCTGTGTACCATCACCTCAGTCCCCTGTGCTCCTCCCTCCTTCACTCTGATCCCTCTCCCACCTCCTCCTCCCCTGCAGGATGTCTCTGATTTATAATTGTCTGTTTTTGTTTCATTGTGTTTTGTCCTGTTATTATTTTTCCCCTAATGTCTTATTTGGTTCCCTATATTAAGGAGACCATTGTGACAGTTGAACTTTGAGATGTGTATTACAAAGCAATAATTTTATATTAAAATATCACTGAATTTTCATTTTTATGAACCTAATTTGTCATTTATTTTTGTTTAACATTTTGAAATGGCATTAACTGAAAACAAACAGATGACGTGGTAGAAATCAAATTATGAAATTACTATTTTGAGGATTAAAGGATAAAATCTAATCCCCAGAACATTATCACTGTATATTTTCTACATCTAACTAATGTATTTGAGCAATTTATTTTGAGGGTTTTTTTAAAGATCTCTAGAGGGATTCTATAATTTTATTTGTTACTTGTGTCACTTAAAACATAAATAGAAAATCCCCTTTTACCTCAATAAAAATTTTATGTCAAAAATTTTCCCAAAGTTTGCCTCACCACAGGTCTCTTTGGACCTCATTTTGTGCTCAAATTTTATATTCATACCACATTTCCAGCAAACTATCACCTGGGAGTAATGTCCTTGAACAGCTCAGGTATTTGCTATGCCCTCCTGTCCCACCCCATCATCACTGCATATACATTGGGGTACAAACATGCTTACACACATAGTCTCTGCTGAATCTCCTTCACAAAAGTGTTCTTTAAGTTAACAGTGCTAAACACATCAACATTTTGCAGAATCTAATGTCTCTTCCAGTACAAAAATTCTGATTCATGGCAGGCTAACTTGTAGGAATTGTTAACTGAAACTATACAATATTTCACAAGGCAACATTTCATCCTGTGGATGAGACAGACATAATTTTTAAACAGAACTTGAAGAGGCACAAATCTAAGTCTCCTTAGGGTTTTGTTTGTTGAACTATATTCAGTGTTGTCAGTCTCCTTGGTAAGATACTGTGCTTATTAAGGTTTAAAACTTTCATTATGAGAGGTAAAATCTATCAATGTCAGGACTGTGGGTAGCTCTGTATCATTTCCGAGCACACCCTCTCACATAATTACATTTGATTCTCACTACTTTCCTGGGAGGTGCTAACCATCATCTGACCCCTCTTTTGCATGTGGAGAAAGAGGGTTTGAGAGGCTATCGCATGTCTCAAATCATTGCAGGTGGTGCCAGACCCTGTACCGGAACACGGGTCCTCTCCTTCCTAATCTCTCTTGCGCACCCTGCTTCCCCCTGCCTGCCATGTGGTGCAGACAGGCCTACCAGGTCTTTCAGTTTTTTGTTTCTCTTGTATCTGCCAGGTATATTTTCAGTTGCAATCCCTGAGCAATTTTAATTTTACATAATATTTGATAATATAGTCACTGGCCCTTAGGAACTTTATACTCAACAACAGGTTACATATACCACATAAAAACAATAGACTGAAACTAATAGGGACAAAATGTTTCAACAACCAAAAAGCTATATTTAATATTTTATGGGGACAATGTTCTTGGTGTCTCTGAACATGTTTGATTAAAATTTTTAGAACATTTTGCCGACTGTGAGAATTACTCTGTAGTCACTAACTACATTGGATCCGTATTTTCAGATGATACAGAAATCCATGCCATGCTCTCCAAATGGAAGTTCAACAAAACCTCACAAATACCCCTACCTCTAAAGACCATCAGGGAGTTTTGGCTTCTCCTTTTGAACACAGCACAAAAGAAGCTTCTTTTAAAAGTAAAGAAATTTTCGTGAGAAGTTCAGATATGTTAGATGTTCAAGTTCATCTAAAGCGTTGGGGCTTTCCCTATACTCATAATTTCTTAGAAGGATAAATTCAGATACATTTCTCATGACTTGAAAACTGTAGGCGAGTTGGAAATACTATAACCCAGTACAGAGACATCATCTCTTTAACTTAACCTAAATGATTCCATTGTACCCAAGTAAATGGCAGCCCTGCCATTTAGTTTGCAACATTTGCTTAGATGGATGACCAAAATGTATACATGAGCCACACAGAAATGCTTCTTAACTACTTTTCATATGAATTTCTCATTTGTTTATCCTTTTTTTTTAAGAAACATCAGTCACTTCTGTATAGTTTATATACATTTTAGTAAAGCCACATGCTCATTTTTGAGTATCAAAAAGAAACTTTTATTGGTTAATTTAACAAAGGCATTTTCTTTTGAATCTCATGCCCTTATGATATTATCTCTGCCCACTTCAGAGTTCATAATGAAACTTTTATAAATATATTATTATAATAAATATTAGTGTTCCTTAGTCACTGATATATTTTATCTTGAGTATGTTGGTTTTTCTAAAAAAAATTGCTTTATTTCATTAACAGCTTTGATTAGAGAGATGTTAATTCAGTCAACTATATTAAAAGCCTTCAAAGACACTCAAATATGAACTGAATGAATGGATGAATCTCTTCTTAATATAGTACAGAAATGAGTTAATTCCCAGTATCCTATCACTCCTCCACTATATATTTTTCCACCTTTATAATAATCCTATACCAGACTTTTTCAGTTTCTACTTTTTTTAATTCATTTTTGTTTTCTTTTTTAAATTTATTTATTTTTAATTAAGATAATATTTGGGTACCCCTATGAAGTATTACCACTGGGTGCACTATCACAAAATCACACATATTCCATCACCATGGTGCATTGTCCTTCCTTCCCTTTTTCCTCTTACTCCTTCCCCACCTACTCCCCCTATTGGTGCTTTAGTTTTATAGTCACCGCTATCAAGGGGTTAGACTTTAAGCTTGTCTTTATTGCTGCTTAGTTTAGGGACTATATATTCCACATATTAGTGACACCAACCAGTATTTATTTTCCTCCTTCTGACTTATTTTACTTAGCATTACCCCTTGCAGCTCCATCCGTGTTGCCACAGATGGCATGAGTTTATCTTTTTTGATTGCTGAATAATATTCGCTTGTGTATATATAGCACGTCTTATTGATCCACTCATCTGTTTGGGGGCACTTGGATTGTTCTCATAATTCAGCTATATTAAATATTGCTGCAATTAACATGGTAGTGAAAGTTTCAAGTTAGTATTTTTGAATTTTGGGGTTGGATGCGTAGGAGTGGAATTACTGAGTCGAATGGCAGATCCATGTTTAATATTTAAACACCTCCATACTGCTTTCTACAGGGCTGGACCAGTTTGCATTCCCACCAGCAGTGTAGGATGGTTCCTTTTTTTCCGCATCCTTGACAGCACTTGTTTCTGGTCTTTTCCTTATGGGCCATTCTCACAGCTGTGAGATGATATCTCATTGTGGTCTTGATTTGCATTTCCCTAATAAGTGATAGTGAACATTTTTTTCATGTGCCTGTTCGCAGTCTGTATGTCTTCTTTGGAGAAGTTTCTGGTTAATTCTTCTGTTTAGTTTTTGATTGGGTTGTTTGTTTTTGTACAGTTTTATGAGTTCTTTGTGTATCTTTGTTGTCAGTCCGTTGTCAGATGTATGGTGTGCAGACTTTCTCCCAATCATTAAGGTGACTTTTTGATTTAATTATGGTTTCTTTTGCTATGTGGAAGCTTTTTAGTTTGATATAGTCCTAGTTGTTTATGTTCTCTTTTATTTTCCTTGCTGTTGGGGAAAAAAATCCCTAAAGGCATCACTAAAGCTTATGTCATGAAATGTTTTGCCTGTTTTTTTCTGTGTATTTTGTGGTTCCAGGTTTTATACCCAAGTCTTTTATCCATTTTGAATAGATTTTTGTGTGTGGTGTCAGATAGGAGTCTAGTTGCATTCTTGGGGGAGATACCTTTTTTCCCTTATCCTGTTTCTTGCAACTCTTTTTTTAAATTCTTTGATTATCCATTTGCAACCTTTCTTCACCCTTCTCCCTCCATCCTTTTTCAGGTGCCTGACATCACAATGTACCTTGTATATTCTAAATCTTTTCTTTATCAGATACATGATTTGCAGATATTTTCTCCAGTCTCTCGTTTGCCTTTTTATTCTTATAATAGTGACTTTCAAAGAGCAAACTTTTCTATTTTGATGAAGTGCAGTTTACCAGTTATTTTCATTTATGAATCATGATTGAGTATAGTGTCTAAGAAACTTTTGCCAAGCCAAAGCCACAAAGGTTTCTTGTAAAAGTTTTATTATCTTAGGTTTTATATTTAAGTCTGTGATCTGTTTTGTGTTAGTTTTTGTTCATGATGCTGTAAGGTTTGGATCAGAAGGTTTTATTTTGTTTTTGCATTTGTATAACCAGTTATTCCATCATCATTTGTTGAAAAAACAATCCTGTCTTAACCAAACATCCTATTACTTCTGTGTTGAATATCATTTATTATATGTGTGAATGTGTTTCTGGACTCTACTCTGACCCATTGATCTATCTCTCTAACTTCATACCAGTAGCACAACTATCTTGATTACTATCATTTTATAATATGTCTTAGAATCAGTTGTTATCACTCCTGCAGCTTTGCCTTTTTTAAAAAACACATTGGTTTAGCTATTTTTTTTTTTAAATATTAAATTTTATTTTTATATTCCCCCATACAATTGCAAACGCCCCATTCTGACCCCAATCCTTCCCCTC